TCTCTTTGCTGACTGTCTCTCAGCGGAGAACAATTGCTTGCGTGAACTGAAGCTGGCGGACCCCGAGGGAAGCAGAAAGAGCCACAGCGAGAAGATGCGACAGCTGTACCGCGCGCAGGTCGAGAAGAAGAGGAGGGGGGGAGAGAAGGAGGCGAGGGAAGAAGGAGAGAAGAAGAAGGGGGGGGGGGGGAGGCAAGGGAAGAAGGAGAGCAGAAAGAGTGAAGGAGCAGGAGAGGGAGGAGGAGAGGGAAGAGGAAGAGAAGGATGGAAGAGGAGCAGGAGGACGGGACAGATTGGGGCTTAAGCAAACCAGGTGAAGGACAAAAGACCGCGAATGCTGGACGAGGATGAAGCCAATGAAATTCCTCAGGGTAAGGAAGGGGAGAGAGAAGGAGGGACAAGGGAAGGAGGAGGGGCAGGAGGAGGAGGAGGAGGAGGAGGAGGGAGTCAGTTCTTCATGCTGAGAGAACGGCAGGACAAGAAACGAACGAGGACGCGGATAAGAAGATGCCGAACACGGTGGAGCATTCGGACTGCTTCCCCCTTACTGCTCTCTCTTTCCTTCCACTCACTCCTCCTGCTCCCTCTCACTCCTCCTCGTCCTCCTCCCCAGCCTAACTCTGTTTACAGATCGAACGAGATCATCGCATCGCTGACTTCCTCGAGAGGTAGGCTGCCTTCTGCTCTCCTGCTCTTCTGCTCCTCTCCTTTCTTCCTCTTTGTCTCCTCATATTTCTCCTTGAGTTCTCATGTGCCTCCCAGCAACTCGTCGGAGCTTCAATCACTTCTCGCACAAACGGCGCACAAAAACATCGCAGAGGTCTGCGCCCTCCTCCTCCTCCTCCTCCTCCTCCTCCTCCTCGCGACACCACCACCACCACCCTTACCACCACGACTTCTTCCACCTCATCTCCCACCCTCTCCTCCCCTCGTCTCACTCGCCCTCCTCTACTGCTACTGCCCGCCCCCCCTTCTCCTGTTCATCTCCTCCCTGCCTCTCCTCCTCCCTGCCTCTCCTCCTCCCTGCCTCTCCTCCTCCCTGACTCTTTGCAGACGGTTTCGAAGCTCGCGGGTCAGGACGCGTCTGCCGTGCTCGAGGGCCTCAAGTCGGCGCTGCAGGTGGAGATGGTGCTGGGCAGGAGGAGGCGACTGACAGAGTGTGTAGAACCTCCCGCAGGAGAAGAGGAGGGAGCTGCTGCTGTCGCTGACCGACACATCGTAACGCAGAAGAGGAGAGGAGAAGAGAATAGGATGGCCCGAGGAGAAGCAGAGGAGGAGGGAAGAGGAGAGTTAGCAAGGGGAGAGGGACAGGGTAGGTGTCAACTGCAGCCTCCTCCTCCTCCTCCTCCTCCTCCTCCTCCTCTCATCACCCTCACGCTTCTGTTGATTAAATCGCTTCACTGTGACCATTTTCTACACTCCTCCATGCCCCCCACCACCTTCAGGTCGTTTGCAGGAAGGGAATTCTCCCGCGTCCTCTCCGTCCAGAGCTCCCAGGAGGTTGAAAGTTTCTCCTCCCTCGGCCTCGCCTGCACGACGCCCCTGAACTCCGCCACTCCCTCCACCGCCTCCGCCTCCACGCTCGAGATTCCGCCCTCGAGCTGTCCGGTAAGGAGCTGGAGAAGAGTCAGGGGGACAGGCGACAGAGTTAGGAGAGAAGAGGGGAAGGAAGAGGGAGGGAAGCGAGGGGGTAGATCCGTACCTCCCACGTGTGCAGACGATCGTCGACGAGGACGAGCAGCAAATTTCTTCCTCGCATGCGCAACAGCTCAATGCTAGAGCAAGTCTCTCCCTCCGCCACCATGCTGCTCTGCTTCCTCGGTACGTGAGCATGCAGCACCCCTCCCGCCAGGTACATCAGCGACACCTCCACCACCCCCATGCTCGAGCCCGCGAACGCGAAGAAGCTCCGCGAGCCGATAGCGAAGGAGGAGACGCGCGTTGCCGCTATGCTCAACTCCTGCACCTTCTCCACCATTCCTCCTCGGATCCTGTAGAGAGCCGAGCACGAAGAGCAGGAGCCGGCAGCGGCTACGTAGCACTCGTCCTGCTCCACAGCTGCCGCAATGCGCGTCTCTGAAGGCAGAGCGATGCTCGAGCTGTCCTCGAAGAGCTGTGTGCTCGGGTCGAAGAGGAAAACGCGGAGGGAGTGACGGTCAGCGGCAGGGTCGCTCTGCGAGAGGAGGAGGAGGCTCAGGTTGCTGGTGCTGGCGAATTCAAACTGCAGGGCCCCGTCGGTGAGCAGCCGCTGCTGCTCCTGGAACTGGCACGCCCGCCACAGGAAGAGGGAGGAGAAGATCTTCCTACTGACCCCGTCGAAGTTGTTTGCCACTGCCAGCCACTCCCTACCTGCCATGCTGAAATGCTTCAAGTCCTTGGCTCCGGTCGTCGGCAGCGCCTGCAGCAGCGTCGCCGAGTCGGCGGGGAGGGGAGCAGCCGGTAGACCGGAGAGTGCGTCTGGTAGCTCCGCCGCTCCTCGTCGTAGTAGGAGGCGAACGCGAGCAGGTGGAGGCGATCTGGGCCCGCGCAGGAGGCCGAGAGGCTCTCAACGGCCACGGCCATGCCCGAGAGCAGCAGGGCCTGCGGCCTCAGGGCCTCGAGCGCGTCGGCAAGCGAGATATCGAGGTTGTAGCGGTGCTCGTCCTCGCTGAAGGAGAAGACCAGGCTCCAGACCTCCTCTGCGCTCCTGCTCCTGTTCGACTCCGACAACACTTCCCGCCATGGCTCGAACAAGGCAGAGGAGGAGCCCAGCGCCAGCAGCTCCGGGATGCCGTCGGAGGCAAGGGACTGCTGGCTGATCACAATCCACACGCCAGCGGGAGGGAAGAAGAAGAGGAAGGAGACGTTTCCGCCTGCTCCTCCTCCCCTCCACACCGACTGGTTCAACAGCACGAGGTCCGTCAGGTTGTACCTTCCCTCCAGCCCTGCATGAGAGCGCGTGCCTGTGAGCTCTTTCCCTTGGAAGGAGGACGAGGACACGTGCTCGTCCACCTGAACCGCCGCCACCATGACCTGGGCGACGGGAGCGAACGAGGAGGAGGAGGAGCGCATCTCCAGGTGTAGCTCGCTCCCTCCCACCATCCCCTCCTGCACCACTAGGGTGAAGTTGTACCTGGTGAGCCCCGCCACCGACAGAGGAGGAGGGAACACCGGTCCAAACACCACCTGCTCGTTGACCTTCACCGTCAGCCCCCCGACCTCGTGCGTATACGTCACGTCGGTGAAGAGGCCCGCGAGGAAGGAGAGGCTGACCCGGTCCCCAGCTCGCGCTCCCTTGAGGAAGAGCTGAGAAATCCTCCCGTATTCAGGGCCCAGCAGAGCCCCAGGGCTCTTCCTGGAGCGGTTGAAGGGGACGGAGAATTCAAGCTCGTCGAGGGTCAGAACGCCGTCGGGGCGGAGGAAGCTTGTCTCGACTTTCCCTGCGCAGCTCCAAGCTCGCGGACAAGCTCCCTCGCTCTCGAGGTTCCCGTTGGTGACGGCTGCCATGCTGTGGCCTCTGCTATCGGAGTACCTGAGGAGGGAGGAGCGAGTGGGAGGGGGAGAGGAACAGTTGGCGCAGGAGGGAGCAGCTACCCTCGCTCCCGCGATGAAGAAGCCTCCGTCGGGGAGGAAGAGACTCTTGAGGGCGAACGCTTCCATCCTCCTGCTGCCGACCTTGTAGTAGGAGAAGTTGCTGTAGGAGACCACAGCCGCTGAGACCGTCAGGTTGCTCGTCACCGGGTTGTTGAGCTCATCTGCCATGTTCACCGTCGGCTGCTTCATCATCCCGATCCTCCAGTTCTCCGTGAAGTTTCCCACCTCCGCCTCCTCCCACGACATCACCGAGGAGGGATCGTCCGCCGTTCCCATCCCTCGCACGCTGACTTCCCCGCTGCCCCTCCTCACCTTCCAATACCCATCGCTCAGGTCGTACAGCAGCTCGTGCGCCTCTACTTCCGTAGAGATGTCCTCCGGCATGACTGTGAGGACAGGAGGAGCGAGCCAGTCAGGAGCGATCTGCCACGTCTGGTCTGCAGACCAAGAGAGGAACTGATTGCCTCCTCCTCTCTTGTAGATCGGCTTCGAGTTCCTCCATGTCTGAGTGCTGCCGTACACGCCGCTCAAGCTCTCGTTGCTCACGTTGATAACAACATAGTCCGGCTGCGACTGACTGAAGACCGGGCTGCTGCCCTCCACCCTGACGAGCCTGTAGAGCCCGTGAGCCTCGTAGTGAGCGTTGGAGCCGAGCAGGAGGAAGTTGGTGGCGGCTGCTGGGCTGGTGATGCAGAAGTTGACGGCCGTCACGTTGGCAGGGAGGGGCTGGGAGGTAAACTGAGTGACGTTGAAGGAGAGCATGGGCCCTGGGCTCTGCGGGGAGGAACTAAGGCGAGTCGCTACCTCAGACAGGAAAGTTTCTCCGTATGACACGTACAGGCCCACCAGATCCCCCAGCTGCTCCGGCACGCAGCTCGTCTTGACGGTGAAGCTACCCGAAGTCAGGTTGGCAGCTCCGACTTGGAGAGTAACGGGGAGCATGAGGACTTGAGTGGGCAGCGAGGACAGGGAGGCGAAGGGGGAGGAGAGGGCGTGACAAGGGTTGGCCGGCCCCCGACAAGTTCCCCCGGCGCTAGCAAGCTCCTCCACCACAAACTTGAGCTGGCACAAGGTGAAAGTCAGAGCAGGCGAGTTTACATCCCCTCTCCTCTCGCACCTGACAGCTGACAGCACGGGGGACGACGCTGAGGTCGGTGAAGGTGACGATGGAGGAGCGAGCGACTTGCGACGCTCCTCCAGCTATGGCGCTGATGCCGCAAGCTTCCTGCGCGATGCTGATCCTTACCGTCGCTCCCCCCGCCACGTCAGCAAGGTTTCCTCCCACATCCAGCAGCTTCAGCTTTGGCTGCACCAGCAG